GTTATATACACCTTCTAAATAAAAAATGTCCTTTGCCAAGAAACAATTTCACTTTAACTTCAAATCCTGCTGCTGCTAAATGGAAGTAGTATTGATTTGTAAAATATTATGAAATCTCAGGGCAACCAAATGCCTTAGAACCACTATGAAAGCTTAAATACCTAAGATGTTGGCAGAAATCATATTGTGAATTATTTTATTTATTTTTTTTTAAACTTTTATTTAATGCATATAAATTTCCAAAGTACAACTTATGGATTACAATGGCTTCCCCCCATACCGTCCCTCCCACCCACAACCCTCCCCTTTCCCACTCCCTCTCCCCTTCCATTCACATCAAGATTCATTTTCGATTATCTTAATATACAGAAGATCAGTTTAGTATACATTAAGTATGGATTTCAACAGTTTGCTCCCACACAGAAACATAAAGTGAAAAATAATAGATGATTTTTTTAAATGATGATGAAATCAGAGCAGACCTATTGTCATGTTTAATCCCAGTGAGAGTCAAGTTGGGAATTGATAATTTCTTTTGTTTTGTTTTGTTTTTTTTTTTTTTTTTTACAGAGGATCAGTTTAGTATGCATTAAGTAAGGATTTCAACAGTTTGCACCCCCATAGAAACCCAAAGTGAAATATCTTGTTTGAGTACTCGTTATAGCATTAAATCTCAATGTACAGCACATTAAGGATAGAGATCCTACATGAGGAGTAAGTGCACAGTGACTCCTGTTGTTGACTTTACCAATTGACACTCCTGTCTATGGCATCAGTAATCTCCCTATGCTCCAGTCATGAGTTTCCAAGGCTATGGAAGCCCTCTGAGTTCTCCGACTCTTATCTTGTTTAGACAAGGTCATAGTCAAAGTGGAGGTTCTCTCCTCCCTTCAGAGAAAGGTACCTCCTTCTTTGATGACCTGTTCTTTCCACTGGGATCTCACTCGCAGAGATCTTTTGCCAGAGTGTCTTGGCTTTCCATGCCTGAAATACTCTCATGAGCTTTTCAGCCAGCTCCGAATGCCTTTAGGGCTGATTCTGAGGCCAGAGTGCTATTTAGGACATCTGCCATTCTATGAGTCTGCTGAGTATCTCACTTCCCATGTTGGATCACTCTCCCCTTTATTTACTCCATCAGTTAGCGTTAGCAGGTACTAGACATGTCTATGTGCTCCCTTTGACTCCCAGTCCCTTCACCATGACCAACTGTGGATTCAAACTGATCACCTGGAACAGTGAGATGGCATTGGTACATGCCACCTCGATGGGATTGAATTGGAATCCCCTGGTATGCTTCCAACTCCACCACTTGGGGCAAGTCAGCCTGAGCATGTCCCAAATTATACATCTCTTCCCTCTCCCATTCCCACCACCATGTTCAACAGGGATCACATTTCAGTTAATTTTCAACACTTAAGAATAACTGTGCATCAATTATTATAATCCAGTTACCTGACCATTAATTCAAGTTTCTTTTCTTTTTTTTTTTTTTTTTTTTTTTTGACAGGCAGAGTGGACAGTGAGAGAGACAGAGAAGAAAGGTCTTCCTTTTGCTGTTGGTTCACCCTCCAATGGCCGCCGCCATCAGCGCACCGCGCTGATCCGAAGCCAGGAGCCAGGTGCCTCTCCTGGTCTCCCATGCGGGTGGGTGCAGGGCCCAAGCACTTGGGCCACCCTCCACTGCACTCCCTGGCCACAGCAGAGAGCTGACCTGGAAGAGGGCAACCAGAACAGAATCCGGCACCCCGACCGGGACTAGAACCTGGTGTGCCGGCGCCGCAAGGCGGAGGATTAGCCTATTGAGCCGCGGCGCCAGCCTAATTCAAGTTTCTTGAAGTAGTGCTAATTATTGTTTATTCTATTAAGATCCAGTTTGCATTCCCAAAAACAGAACTATAGATGTCCCTTTGAAAAACAGTGTATATGTAAAAATTAAAACCAAAAAGGACAAAGGAGGCAAAAAGAATCAGACTACTTCAGTAGACAAATGTATCTACTAGGACAAAATGAATGACTGAAAATGCTCAGTAAATGCCAAGGAGAGAATGTGTATAAAATAAAAGCATTATGCTATATATTTAAGTATTAAAATTAATTACCTATTAGAGCAAATATGATTAATTACAGCTGTCAAAATATTTAGCCAGTTTTCTAACTCCAGAATTAAGCATCAAAACCGAAAATAGAAATTTAGTTTCTAGTCAACAAGCAGAGACTAGATTTATCTTCATGCTTTAAATAATCAGAAAAACAGACAATATTTGAAACAATTTTTAGACACTAAAAAATAGGCAGCACAGGACAGATCAGAAACAATTGAGATAAAACTTAGATTGCAACGGCTTATTACCTGGGAGGTAATTTCCAGGCCAAATCTTGGAGAGGTAGAACCCAAACAGAACCCAAATAAAGCCCAGATTTCTTGAGGAGTTGAGAAGACTGGGATCAGACTTGGGGAAGCCATGGCACCTAGAATTGTTGGGACCATTGGGCAGAAAGAGAACTCCAGGGCTCTGGGGAGGGGTCCTTGACTGCATACTGACCTAGCCAGGCATGAAAGGAATCTTCCCAGGACCAGGGAAGCATCACAAGCAAAGAGTAGCCTGACCAGAGAGACTGGTGGTGCTTTGATGACATGGAACCAGTCCCCATCTTACAACTAAAGACCTCATCACCCAAAACAGGCATCATATGGCCCAACGTCCAATAGGTAACCTGAGTCCAGGCACAGTAATACCCCACAGTATATCCTCTGCATGACCCAAGACATTTACACATTCTGGAAATGTGGACCTGTCGCAGGGAGGGGAGTAGGAGCCCCTGTCCCCATACTGGAGGCCTCAGGGGAGCACGCCGGGACTCACGCAGCCTGAAGGACAACACTATTACCTGACGCATGACTTGGAGCCAAGCTAAAGAAACTTAGGAGCTACAATTGTTATCCTTTAGTTTTTCAAAGGGGAAAAATCATTTGCCCTTCTCATGGCTTCAACTTTTTGGCTCTTACTAGAGGATCTCGGATTATTTCTAATCTTAGTTTTGCATGGTTTCCCAGCAACCATAACAGGCCTGGATTAACTACCTCTGTCTGGACTCAGATGTCTTATGGAGAGAAAATTCCCCAGAGTTACCAAATCAACACTTTTAAACACATCTAAAATAGAACAGAACAAGGGCTCCGATATATGATAAATTTGCCATATCCTATGTATTTCATTGAATTTAATATCTTTGAGTCTCAAGGAAATTCATAGAGATGCAAAATGAAGAACCAGGATTAATTCATTTGCACAAATCTGTTTGTGGTCTCTCTCTATCCAAGTATGAGCTCTGCCTTCATTGCTTCCTAGCCAACACGGATGCCAGGAACCATCACGCCCAGTCTCCTAACTCCCACCCCTTTAAGTGTCCTTGCCTGTCTTTTTTGATAGCAAATCAGTCACTCACTAAAATTAACTCACTGAATTGAGGGAGCGGCACAGGTTCCAATCACGAGACTCATGAGGGAATTTGCTTCTGCACTAGATAATGCCTTGTTGGTATTGTCTTAAGAGGTTTCTTTTCAGAAAATTTCAGGTCTGGGGCAGAAAGTAGCTATCACCTGCATGTAGCTCCCCAGCTGACTGAAGCCCACATGGCCATCAAAAAAATTCTCTAAGGAACACAATATTGCTGACCAATCAAAGGAAGGCAGTGAGCATGCCAACCAACGAGGAGCCTGGTGTCTGGACGGTGGTGTTTATCAAGTTCCCATTCCTTTAGGTGCCCCTCTTTGCCTCTACAGCAACCGATGTCTTGGTAACTGGCAGAGCTGGAACTGCCACAGCCCTGTTACGCAAGTGCTTTGGCTCCCAGCCACTTTCATCAGTAAGCCCACATAAGCCACGAGGGGGCGTGGTTAGACGTGGATGCGAATGTGTGGATGGTGGTGGGTGTTCGTGTATGTCTGCGTGCATGTCTGATTGCATCCACAGACACGAGGGCAGACACCGCTTGTGGCCTGACTGCTCTCGCACGCTACTGGTTGTTTGTGTATTTCTCACCACCACCGAGTAAAAGGATAAACCTACAAACGACTCGGAGTTGTTCCCTGACCTGTTGGAATCCCAATCTGCTTGTCCACGAACCAAGTTCTGGACACACATTGAACATCCACCTCTCATGCCAGCTTCAACCCCAACCCCTGGAGGAGCCCAGGAATTAGGTGACAGTTTCATGGTTCCTTGCTCTGTGCAATGCAAAAACAAAACAAAAACAAAAAATAAACAAAAAAACACCTCCTTTCTTCTGCCACCCCAATGTCAGTGATGGACTTTCTGAATGTCAGGCAAGCAGACCCAGTCTTGCGGGTTCTAGAGCAGTCCCTCCAACCAGTTTTGGGGGTGGTTCTATATCAGCCCCAGTTACCTTTTTGTTAAAGGGAAACATTAATAGTCCGTGCCCGGTGGCATTGCTGGGAGGATTACTGAGATGATATTTCCCAAAGCTCTTGCCAGGGAACCCGGCACGTGTGGGCTCTTGTTATTAATAACATCTTCCTTTACTTGGGATTTTGTTTGGAGGGGTCATGAGTGAAAGGGAATTTTAGCACCTTTTCTTATTCCCCCAGGAAGGAAAGAAGAACAGGAAAGACGAATGGCTCATGATCTAAAAGAGAAAAACACCCCCTGCGGCGCCTGGGTACAGGAGAGGAATTGAGAACTCAGCTCTGTTTCTTGTTTTGTTCATTCCCTCTCTCCTCCTCACAAAGAGCAGAGAGAAAGCTTTAGCATCTCTAAGTCCTCGCGCTCAGAATAAGGCCTCACTTTTGGATGAGCAATGTATTCAGGATCACTGTTGACCAAAATTCAATAGATCTTTTCAAACCATATTATAATGCGGTAAATCATCAGAAGCAGGGCAGGGGTGTGGAAGGCGGCAGGAATCATGCAACTGATTTATAAGATTGTGGGAACTGTGAAAAAGCTTGCTACATTGAGGGAGAAATAGGCTTGACTCACCTGCAGGAGTCTACTTGGCTGATTAAGGTTTGTCCTTTTTGCAAAGCATCAGCTGTGCAGGCTTTAATTTCGTGGTGTAATTCCTCATGCCTCGCTGCCAAGACAGGCAGGCTTAAACCCTCTGCTTTAAGGAGCTTAAGGTAAGCTTCAACTCTTCCAAGTACATCAAATGCCTGCCAAAGAAAACAGACTTTCATTTTCTGCTTTTCTAGTTTAAAGTCTACATTCATGTGGATGCGAAACACTAGCCATTAAACCAGGTCATTCAGTTTATTCGTTTGATCAGAACAAAATACAACAATCTTAGTCTTGGAAAACAGCTGGAGAATTTTAAGGCTCCATTCAGGGGAAAGGATCACAGCTCAGTCCTGCACAAGTAAATGTCAACACCATAAAATTACCAAAACAGTTCATGTTGAGAATGTATCTATACAGCCCACCGTTATAACTGCATGGAATTTGCAGAGCCTGGTTTACTTTTTGTAAATTCTGTACTGCGTGCAAGTAATGCATGAGCCATTTAAAAATATTATGCAACCTCTCATGACCTGAATGTCTCAGTACAATTCTTAAAAAGAAGTTTCCCAATAAATTCCAATTGGAACCTAAGAAACTACAAGGAAATAGTCAAAAAATTACCAATATACTTCTCTCCCCTTTCTTTCAACTATAAGACTTTCAGCCCACTCCAGTGAAGGCATCCATCTGGCTACAGAGGAGATTAGAATTTGATTCTGAAGCAGTTCAAAGAGTAAAACCAAAGTAATATTTAGTTTCTCGTATGCAAAATAGGATTATGCAGAAACAACACAGCCTTGCAAACCAAGATATTGTCTTGAGAGAGGATTTTTAAACTCCATTATTATTTTTTTTTTTTTGACAGGCAGAGTGGACAGTGAGAGAGAGAGACAGAGAGAAAGGTCTTCCTTTGCCGTTAGTTCACCCTCCAATGGCCGCCGTGGCCAGCGCACTGCGGCCGGCGCAATGCACTGATCCAAAGCCAGGGGCCAGGTGCTTCTCCTGGTCTCCCATGGGGTGCAGGGCCCAAGCACTTGGGCCATCCTCCACTGCACTCCTGGGCCACAGCAGAGAGCTGGCCTGGAAGAGGGGCAACCGGGACAGAATCTGCCGCCCCAACCGGGACTAGAACCCGGTGTGCCAGCACCGCAGGCGGAGGATTAGCCTATTGAGCCGCGGTGCCAGCCCAAACTCCATTATTTTCTCTCTTTATTAGCAGATCAACCACCCAACATGGGGGAGTAGGTTTACAGAATTAACAAGAGTGGAGAGGAGCTTTCCATTGGCCATGAAGCCTTGGTTGGTATTAAGATGGAAGAACACACATCTAATCAAGACAGAAAAGAGGACTGTGTGGTATGGTACAAGGAAGAAACGAGGGAGGAAGCAGAATGTCATGGTCCTCACAGGCCTCCTGATAGCTCACTTCAGAGTCTGGGTCTGGGGAGCTGATGAACCAGCGAAGTCGACGCAAAGCTGAGCAGCAAGAAGTCCTGCCAGGGTGCTCTTCAGTACTACGGGAAGAAGCCACCTCACTAGTGCACCATCAGGAGAACAGTCCCATCACAGAAAGCTGGGCAGTGAGCAGAGTCAGGAAGGGCCTCGAAGTCCAGCCTTCTTAGACTGCTGAATTAGAAGTCCCTGACCTTGGCAGCCCCCCACCCCAGAGCAGGAATGGTGGGAGGATCCCACAGCAGACCTGGGGGAGGATTCCAGAACCTGAGAAATGAGAACAGAGGGGCTTCTGGGGGAGGCCAAAGGAGCATGGCGGAGCTGCCGCTGAGGGAACACAGTCCAAGCCCAGTGCAGAGGCCACAGCTGTGAAACTGTGCAATGCACCCACGCCCTGCACCTGGTTGTCATTTTAGGGAATGAGCTTGCTGGTGGAATAACTGGACGAAACTGGAATTTACAGATGAACTCTCTGAAACACTGTCCTTACTTACATGGTGATATTCTGTTCTGTTCTGCCACCAGCGTCCTCATGTCTCCCCAGTCTGCTCTATGTTCAAAATAAAACCCCTCCACTTACTTAGCAGCTGAAATGAATAACTGCAGTTTAATGAATGTGCTTGCTTCTCGACTCCGCTACACAGTACTTCTGATTCAGTTAACAAATATTGAAGACCTTCTGGGTTCCAGACACACTGTTCCTAGCCCTCGAGGGAGACAGGAGTGATCCCTAGTACATGACTGACTGGAAAACAGTGTCTCAGAGTGGTTAAATGCACCAAGTAACACATACCTTTAAGTGGCAGATCTGGGACTCAAAATCTAGTTCTATCCTAAAGCCCTTGCTGATCAAATGTGACTAATCCATGTGGCACAGGATACTATGAGAGGCTTAAGGATGATGGGCTCTGGGGTAGGCATTCGGCACATCGCTTAAGTTGCACTTTGGATGCCCACAGCCCACACGGAAGGTCTGAGTGCAAGTACCCACTCTGCTCTCTATTTCAGCTTTCTGCTGCTGCACACACGGCAGCGTCAGGGCATGGCTCAAGTTCTTGTGTCTCCGCCACCCACGTGAGGGACCTGAATGGAGTTCTCAACTCCTGCTTCAGCCTGGCCCAGCCCCAGCTACTTTATGCATTTGGAGGAGGAAAAGGCACTTGGGAGATCTCTCCCCGACTTTCAAGCAAACAAACAAATAAATAACCATAAGCAAAGAAAGAAGAGATGTTTCAGAGAAGTCTTGCATGGAAAAGATGAGGATTTTTAAAAAAAAATTTTTAACTTTGTTGCTTCCCCTCTTCGTGGAGGAGCGACACTAGACCCTGCGTTGTTCTTTCGTCTGCTCGGCCCTCCCCGGGTTTGCTGCTGGTTCTTCCCGGGTTGGCTACCGGCCCTTCCACCTCCGTGGAAGGGCGGTTCCCCCTAGCCACTTTCCCCACTTCCCTGGGGGAGCGGCACACCGCCGGCCGGCTCTCTCGGGGGCTGCACAGGTGTTCCTTCAGATAGATGTTCCCCTTAGATGTTCCTCGTGCATGTTGTCTCTCTCCTCCTTTATAGTCCTCTTCCGCCAATCCCAACTCGGCTGCCCACATGCCGAGTACGCTGCTCTCCTCCAATCAGGAGCAGGTCCTACAGTTTATTGGTTGAACTGGAGGCAGCTGTGTAGAAGCTGTTTTCTCCTCTCCCAGCGCCATATTGTGGGAGAGCAGATGCATAGAATAAGTCTTAATTCCAGTAACTTAGTCTAGTCCGAGTTGCTCCCCACAGATCCCCCTTTCTTTTTATTTTTGGCGTTGATACGCGCCTGTCTTTGGTGCCCCGTGGCACACACTCTGCTCTGCTTGCTAGAGTTGCCTACAGGTGCTTACAAGCCCTACCAATCAGGCAAACCGAATCCGGGTCCTCTCTTCGCCATGTTGTGAGAAGGTTTTTAGGCGCTGATGCGTGCCTGTGTTCGGTGCCCTGCAGCTCATGCTCTGCTCTGCTAGAACTGCCTGCAGGTGCTTACAAGCCCTACCAATCAGGCAAACCGAATCCAAGCCCTCTCATTGCCGTATTGTGGGGAGACTTATTGATGTTGATTCGTGCCTATCTTCGGTGACCTGCAGCTCATACTCTGGTCGAGCTGCCTGCTGGTGCTTATCGCCTTACTAATCAGGCAGACCGAATCCAAGCTCTCTCATTGCCATGTTGTGGGGAGGCCTTATTTTTCCCTATTTCTCTACCTCCGGGCATTCTTGTTTCTCCTATTTTACTTCTATCTGCCAGCATTCCTATTTCTCTCATTTTACTTCTAAACTTCCCGCGGCTTCCCGGCGCCCGCCCCGAGGCTGCTTCTCCGCGCCTCGCCCCGCGGCGGCGTCCCGGCTCTGCGCGGCTCGGCTTTGCGCGCACACTCTGCGGTCTCCACGCCCTTCGCACCCGCACCAGGGCCTTCGTGCTAGCCCCACGTTCCCTATCTATTCACGCCCCATGCTCTCTCTGCACGCGGCGGCTTCCGCGAGTCACACAGCGTAGCTTATGTTTCCGCCACCGGTATTCAATCTAAGTTCCCCGGGCTAACCTGGCGAATTCAACCTAGCTTACACGTCTCCGCCTTATGGTTTGGCTTCCCGTCTTTTGCTCCCCGGGCTAATCTGACGGATTCCAACCTGGCCCACGTTTCCGCCTCTGGTTTAACTTTTCGCCTTTTGCTCCCCGGGCTGACTTGAAGAATCCCAAGATAGCTTACGTCTCCGCTTCAGCCTGCACTCGCGGCTTCATCCTCCCTAACATATTTTTCTCTACCCGGTATGTTTCCTAACTTTTCTTCCAACAATATTCTTCCCTCATTTCTCCTGGCTTCTCCCCACAGTCCGTATCCAAGTTTCTTCTAGCTTTCACTTTCACTTTCAATCTCCTAGCTTCCCCGCCATAGTCCGCATCCGAGTTTATGTTTCTTCCAGCTTTCAATCCTAACGTCCAATCCTAACTTCTTTCCCACAGTCCGTATCCGAGTCTATGCCTAGGCTTTCGATAGCTTCTTCCGGCACCTTTTCCGTCCGGCTTTTCCCTAGGCTCTTTGCTAGTCTCTCTCTCCGGTATTTTCCCACTTCTTCCCGCTTCTTCCCTCCTAGGTTTCCTATCCGAGTCACGGCACCATTATGTTGCTCCCCCTCTTCATGGAGGAGCGACACTAGACCCTGCGTTGTTCTTTTGTCTGCTCGGCCCTCCCCAGGTTTGCTGCTGGTTCTTCCCGGGTTGGCTACCGGCCCTTCCACCTCCGTGGAAGGGCGGTTCCCCCTAGCCACTTTCCCCACTTCCCTGGGGGAGTGGCACACCACTGGCCGGCTCTCTCAGGGGCTGCTCAGGTGTTCCTTCAGATAGATGTTCCTGGTGCATGTTGTCTCTCTCCTCCTTTATAGTCCTCTTCCACCAATCCCAACTCTGCTACCCACACGCCAAGTACGCTGCTCTCCTCCAATCAGGAGCAAGTCCTACAGTTTATTGGTTGAACTGGAGGCAGCTGTGTAGAAGCTGTTTTCTCCTCTCCCAGCGCCATATTGTGGGAGAGCAGATGCATAGAATAAGTCTTAATTCCAGTAACTTAGTCTAGTCCGAGTTGCTCCCCACAAACTTACAGTTGTAAATAAGCATTTGCCTTTCCTTCTTATAGATGGGAAAGGAAGGGAAAGGCTGAGAGATTTTTCCTCATCTATAG